TGGTTCGGCGGTTGGGCGAAAAGCAACAGATGTGCATCGATTTCGCTGGCGAAAAACGCCACGGTGCGGTTTGACGGAACGCCCGTCGATTCGTATCAAAACCCTTTCCCCAACCGAAAGATTCATCGGCCAACCGCCAGTCGATACCTATCGGAAGCTTTTCGCCGAACCGCCGCGGTTCGGCGGTTGGGCGAAAAGCAATAGATGTGTATCGATTTCGCTGGCGAAAACGCCACGGCGATCGAGCTAGCGTTTCGTCGAAGGCGAAAAACGTCGCGGTTTGGCGAAACGCCCGTCGATTCGTATCAAAACCCTTTCGCCCAACCGCCAGTCGATACGTATCGAAAGCTTTTCGCCGAACCGCCGCGTTCCAGAGAAACGCTGGACCGCAGACTGTGAACAATGCCTTAACCTTGTTTCTGCCTAGCTATCCATGATAACAGCAACGGCGGGTCATTTCGAAGTCACGTTGTCCGAATTACTCGGCCACCCAAACATTGCCCGCCTGTGTGACCACTCGCACATTCTCTATTAAAGGCCTCTCCTAAGACCGCTGGCCTCTCATTCTCTTCCATTCTCCCCCATAGACGCTGCTCGGCTATTTCTGACCGCTGGGATAGAGACGCAGGGGCTTCATAACATTTGACGTAGGAGTCGGTAATAGGAGTTTTTTTCTTTAGTGTAGGTTTGTAGTTGTTTTCCATTCTCTTTTTTCTGTTCGTTGATGTTCGCTTTCAGAAATTTCGCAGTTGCGGAAAGATGGAAAGAATAGGGTTGAAAGAATGTTTTTCCAAGAAATGCAGGAAGATTGTCATTTTTGCAATATCATCCTCGTCTTCCTGTCTGCAAGGCTTTAACATTATGCAATATTGAATTCGGTATAATATGTATCAGAGGTGAGAATCAGGTAGCCATGGTTGCGGGAAAAAGAACCTGAGCTTTTATTTGGCCTATAGTGTGGTGAAAACTGCCGAGGAAATGCTCCTTTTTCTTCATTTTTGGTGGTGTTGTGCCCATTTTTCAAATGCTCTGTAACGCCGCTGCACCTGTACATGAGTAAAGTATGGGAAACATGTGGATTTGTTCGCTATGTTGGTATTGCGGATAGCTTCTAATCCTGTGTTTCGACGAACTAGTATTGTAATTTTCAGATGTTGCGCGCTACTTCACTCGTTTCTCGTTTGTGCTCTCGAAGCTTCTCCGTCTCAGCATCAATGTCAGCTGAGCAGCCTACTAAGAAAGAGGTAGGTTCTCTCAGCAGTTTTAAAATTCCTGGTAGGAAGCGTTTCTTTTGTGTGGTGTTATCTCATGCCATTGAAGGTTGAAGCGTTGTTTGCTGAGAACGCGCCACAAGAGCGGAGAGGAAATGCGTACAGGTTAGATTTGTGTAGTATTTCGTCTTTTGTAAACACTTATGCTGTGTTACATTTCACCCATTCTTTTAGCCTCAATAGGGTCGAGATTATTGGTGGTGTGGCCAATGATCCTGTATTCAAGACAGCTAAGAATGATCGACCATATGCTATGCTTAATGTTATCACGAATTCGAGACAGCGTCTAGCTAATGGGGAATACAGAGAGCAGGTGAGACCCTCTCTTTTATGGGTGTGAGGTTTTTTTTGAGTGGAGCTGATGTAATGGCGAGTGCCACGCCTGTCACACGCGCGGTCCGAGGATCTCTCTTATCGGCTCTCACCTGGCCAACGAAGTATCCTACCTTTGGGATGGTAAATTGGTCTGGGAAGGTAAGAACGCTGGCCTGTGCATCAGCTGGCCTCAAAAGTTATTGTATAGCTACATCACATTTACTCACTACGATTCTGGATGGAAGTAGAATGCGTGTCGCATCTCAAAAAAGGCTTTGATCAAATATCTGCAAACTTTTTTCCTTATCACGCCTCGAAACTTATGGAAACTCTTTAGCTGATAGAGTTTAAACACGATTTAATGAACTGAAAACTGAGAGGGGAAAAGTAACTCGATCTTCATATAAACACAACCTCAACAGTTGATTGATTACGTAAAGGTGGCGCTTTGAATAACAGAGGTCGATCAAGCACGTTAGTGGTCTCCGAATACTTCAGTGTGCATTGTTGCTTCTTTGTGTTTTAGCAAGTATTTTATACTCTCTTCTTCAGTACCATCTCTTTCAGACCGAGCGCCATACAATCACCGCTTTTGGTAGAACTGCTGAGTTTGTCGCTAATAATATCAAGAAAGGTTTGTCTGCTGATTTTTCGATGGAGAATTGCCCGAAGCTCGTCCCTTTTTTGACTTTTTTGTGCAAAAGTTCATACTTAAGTCACAGAAAACTCCTTTAACAGCCCCTCCAAGGTTACTGCGTGAATTAGTTTTCTTATATACATGTGCGCATTAATATGTTTGTGTATGCGGTTGGAATTTAGGTCAACGTGTCCTTGTAAATGCTCGTTTGCACTATACTGGTGGATTACTCAACGAGGAGGGCGTTCGCAGCCCTCGTCAAACTCATCTCCACGCTGAAACTGTTCAACCCCTTGCACGCGGCGGTGGTGGCGGTGGCGGCACTGGTGGCGCAAGTGACAGCTCTTGAAATTTTCTTCTTGGCATATTGTTATGTTAGCGGTTAGTTTTTGATGATATTTCTCAAGTTTTGCGCTAGGATAGGATGTTTTGCGCTGTACTGTTTATTTTCATTGCCATGTGCTCGACCATGTTGTCCAACTGAATTGTTCATCCTGTAAGAACATAGGAGAATATGAGCCATGGAGAAATGAAAACCACTCATTTGTTAGTTTTGTTGTCCTTGTTGTTCTCATCGTTTTGTACGGTTGCGACACTTTTAACCGAAGGATTGGTCCTATTTGGAAAGAATGAATGATTATGATCCGATTTCGATTTCGATGACGGCTATGGGTCTTCGCTCGATTGGCTATATCGCTGATTCATTTCTTTGCATAATTATTGATTCAAGTTGGATTCTTATATGACAGGGCAAGGGAACGTCTAGAATCCTTGAACTCTTCAACATAGATTAGTGTTCAGGTTTTCTGGATGTCAGTGCACGAAAAAGAACCGTTTTCGTTTATATGTTGTTTTAGGTATGAACCGAGCGGGGGTATCTCTTCTTTCATGTCTACCTCGGCAAGTGCCTTTAACACTACAAAACCAACACAAGTGAGCGTTTGCGTAAACTTTTCTGGATTAACATAACGAGTTTCAGCAGTAGTCTTTATTTGATGACTTTGCTATAATCAGCCTGAGCCTTCCTCATTGTGCAACTTGATATCCTTTCTCCTGTTTTCAAAGTTATCGTGGACTTACACTTCAGTTGCCAATAAATTTCACAATTCAACTGCGTTCTGTATGTAGTGCTGGTAACGGTCTCCAATAATTGTCAAGTGCTTTTTACTATAGTTATTTTCTTCTATTTGTATCTTTATTTCATTGATTTAGACTCGTTCACACTTCCGGGACTCCAATGTCTCCACCAACGATCTCACGAAATGATGTGATGAAGTTTGAAACGTTCCTCTTTGATGCTGACGGTGTTTTGTGGACGGGTGATATTCCAGTGCCGGGTGCAATAGATTTTGTTTCAACGCTTTTAGACGCAGACAAGCGCGTCTTCATCATCAGTAACAATTCGACGAAAACTATGGACCAGTATATGTCCAAAATTAACAAAATCGGCTTTGCGGGTGTCGCTAAAGAGAATGTGATTAACCCTGCAGTTGTGCTGGCTGCATATTTTCGTGATAGGGAGGACTACGCTGGACAGCCTGTGTACCTTTTGGGTACAGAGAACCTCAAGAAGACATTGGAAAGCATAGGCCAAGTGCGCTGTTTCGGCACTGGACCGGACTACGTCAAAGACCACACGGACCATGATTTTATCCACGATATGGATCTGTCTTTAAGACCGAAAGCGGTTGTGTGCAGTTATGACTCGCATCTCAGTTATCCGAAAATTATGAAAGCCGCCAACTATTTGAAACGGAATGAAGTCGAATTTTTGGTGACCAATGAGGATTACACATTTCCCGGTCCGAACCCAGATATTGTGATTCCAGGATCGGGATGCACGTCGGCCGCTATCCGCGCCGTTTCAGGTCGCACTCCGAAAGTTTTTGGAAAACCTCACAAACCAATAGCTGATTTCCTAACAAATAACCAACACATTAACCCTGAAACGACTGTGATGTTTGGTGATCGGCTGGATACGGACATTCAGTTTGCAAATGAGAACGGTTTTACGAGCTGTTTGATGTTAACTGGTGTGCATTCGCTGGACGATGTGGAGAAAGCTGAACAACGTGGTGATAAGAATCTCATCCCCGATTACATCTTCTCTTTCCTCTCCTCTTAGAAGTTGTTCATGCATTCTTTGTAATAACATAGCAATCTTAGAATTTAATTCATGAGATATAATATACGTAGGAGTCGACTAGTTTCTAGACGTTTGTAGACTAATAATAGGTATCAATTATTCTGGAGCTTCGCTACTTGTTTTTCTCGAATTTGTTCCAAAGATGTGATTGCACTGTGTTAGCGAACGGTTAGAAGTTGAATAAAACAATGTTTAGGCTTTTCACAACATCTTCAGCATGGAAAAGCGAAGATGTCAAGACAGCGAAAACCGAACAGCCGCTAACGAAACCCGCACAAAGCTGGCTTAGTAAACTATTGGTCAGTGATTTCATCCACGATTCTGTCGTTTTTTGTTGCATCGCGCGTGTTTCGTAAATCCATCTCGCACTGTATTCAGACCGGTCAACAAATCGATCCTTCCGGCTTCCTTAAACAGAGTCACTCGACCCTCTTGAGTACTTCGGAGTTCATCTACGAATTTTCCAGTGAGATTTGCTCTGGTATTCTGCCCACACAGCGTTTCCCTTATTTACGATGTTTGACGATTTATTTATTCAAGCTCACAATTATCGTCCCGGTGAGAAAGAGAAATACCTCGAGGTTTTTGGCAACTACAAGAATGAAGTTGTTGGAAAGGTATGCTCCAAAGTTCAGCCGATAGTTTTAACATTTGATGGATCTTCAGCTTTCAGCTTCCCTCTGTTGAGTTAGTTGGTTCATGGACAGTTTCTTATGGTAGGACGAAGGATCAAGCCATTCATCTATGGCGACACAATAAAGGATACAAAGATGTTGATAGGTATTTTATGCTTCTAGACAAGACAGCAAGTCATCTGGTGTGTTTGGCTTCTTGTCAGTTCTTTCTCATGATTTTTCAAATTGGTTATCGCACACCGTAGCGTGCATCATACGGGGAATCCTACAGGGCTCACCAACGACAGCCTGTCCTCTTACTGTGCCTTTGACTCCAACTCTCATGTGGACTTACTGCACCTATACTTCTTGAAAAAATTTTGTCCAAAATACAAAAGCGACCATATCTAGCTCCCAGTTTCACAACTGGGAGCATGTGTAGCCCCCAACTTCACTGTTTCCTTCCCCATCTACCCCCCGCCCTCCAGCCTCTCCCAATCCTCCGATCTGCGCACAGTTTAGTTTAGAGTGCATTTAGCGTGCAGTACCCAATACTTAGCAGTTATAGTGGTGATAACCCCTCTATTCTTAGCAATTGATACGATTACCTGCCCTCCGTCACCGATGTCGTTAACACAAAACTTTCATGATTCGGTTGTATGAAAGCTCTAATATTTTGAAGAGAGGCGACGGCGGCAACACGCTATCAGCCCCTATCATGTGTTCTCATCTTCAGTCACCCATCAGTAATGTGAGCGTCACGTCCTCTACGTTACCTGTTGAACCCAACTTCCTACTATCACTGTGAGCGTGATATTAACAAGGTGACGCTTCAGCTCTGATTCCCCTTATGAGGTCTTATCATCTATTAACACCTCCTGTCATCCATCATTGATGTTTCTATCTGACAGAGACATACAGACAGACAAACAAACAAACAAACAAACAAACAACAAAGGGACAGACACACACA